GTGCACCCATGTTCATAGCAGCACAGTTTGTAATAGCTAAAACTTGGAAACAGCCCAAATGCCCATCAACTGGAGACTGGATCAAGAAAATGTGGGGTTTTTTTAGTGCACTGCTGCCAACGCCCCAGCAGAGAAGCTGAGGTCAACATCAAATTTGAAATATTTAAACTATTTCCACAATGCAGACAATTAAGTGCATTGTTGTGGGCGATGCTGCTGTTGGTAAAACATGTCTCCTGATATCTTATACAACAAACAAATTTCCATCTGAATATGTACCAACCGTTTTTGACAATTATTCAGTTACAATTATGATTGGTGGAGAGCCATATACTCTTGGGCTTTTTGATACTGCAGGACAAGAGGATTATGACAGACTATGACCATTGAGTTATCCACAAACAGATGTATTTCTAGTCTGTTTTTCAATGGTCTCTCCATCCTCATTTGAAAATGTGAAAGAAAAGTGGGTGCCTGAGATAACTCACCACTGTCCAAAGACTCCTTTCTTGCTTGTTGGGAACCAAATTGACCTCAGAGATGACCCCTCTACTATTGAGAAACTTGCCAAGAACAAACAGAAACCTATCACTCCAGAGACTGCTGAAAAGCTGGCCCGAGATCTGAAGGCTATCAAGTATGTGGAGTGTTCTGCACTCACACAGAAAGGCCTAAAAAATGTGTTTGATGAAGCAATATTGGCTGCCCTGGAACCTCCAGAACCAAAGAAGAGCTGCAGGTGTGTGCTGCTATGAACATCTCTCCAGATCCCTTTCTGCACAGCTGGTGTCAGCATCACACTAAAACCAATGTTGAAATCAAACTAAAGATTTAAAATTAAAATTCGTTTCTGCAAAAAGAAAATGTGGGTTTTTTAATAAAATGGAGTACTACTCAGCCATCAAAAATGAGAAATTAGAGACATTTATTGCTAAATGGATGTATATTGAGGCGATACTCTTAAGTGAAATAAATAGGACACACATGTGTAAATACCAAATAGTTTCTCTAGTGTGAGAAACTGAGAGTGTACACAAAGACTAAAAGGTACAATAGATAATATGAAATAGGAAGAAAAGGGGCAAAGGGGAAGGGAAAGTGGGAGGGTTAGGGGCAAGGCAAGAAGGGAATGGAATTACTATGAGAAAATGAAAAAATGGAAACAAAGTCTTTGTAAATAGGGAGAGATGGAGGGTTTGAAGGGAGGGCAGGGGAAGGGGGAAAAATAAGAACCAAGAGAGTATGTAAAGGTTCATATCTCCAATGATAAATGTCATTATATTGTACACCTAAAATGTACCAATAAAAGGATATACAAAAAAAAAAGAAAAAAGAAGAGGTCAGTGAACTGGATATGCATATTGCTATGGTTTATATCTAGATGTCCCTCAAAGCCTCATGCACTCATGGCTGGGGCATTTGGAGGATGATTGGATTGTGGAGGTTTATAGCTGGCTTGCTGTTAGACAGTGGGGTGTGGCCTAAAAAAGCAGGTCACTGGAGGGTATGGCCTAGAAATGTTTATCTCACTCTCTGGCCCCTTTCTTCACTCTCTGCTTCCCAAATACCATGACATGAGCAGCTATTCCTATGCCATGCCCTTCTGCCATGCTGTCTTGCTTTGGAACCATTGGACTATGGATTTAAACCTCTACAAACTGTGAGCCAAAATAAACCTCCCTTCCTTTTAGTTGTGGGTCTCAGGAATTGTGTCTCAGTGACGAGAAAGTGACTAAGTGAGATTTTGGTACCATAGGAGTGGGGTCATCGCTGTGATATTATCTGATCATGTAGTTCAAAAGCCTTTAGAAGTGATTCACAGAAAGAGTTTGGAAAAACTCAAAGGTGCCAGCTAGAGAAGAAGCCCTAGAGTGCTATATTATTCTAGTCAGAGCTCAGAGGATCAGAATACAGATAGAAATGCAGCTGGTCAAAGCCAGGTTTCTTCTGGGAACAGCTGCAGTTGAACTTAAGACCATATGTATTATGCTCTACAAAAAAAATTGTCTATATTTTGAACATATCCTGAGACTTTCTGGGAGACGGAGATTAAGGGCTGGAAACTAATCAATCTGTCAGAGAAAATTTCAAGGCAGTCCAACATTTAGAATGTGGCTTGGGTACTGTTGGGGGCTTTTAGTGAGCTCAACATTGAGAATCCAGAACAAATGGCACAGGTGAATGATTTTAAATTTTCAGTTTTGCCAGACAGGAAGCACCTGCAAAGATGGAGCAAAGGGGAGATTGGTTGCTGAAAAGTAGCATTTAAAAAAATGTGCTGTTACAACAGGGCAAGAAGAAGATCCCTTCACGGCATGTGAGAAATCAGCAAGACCTCACCCTTCACAGACTCAGAATTACAAAAGTGAAATAGTATACTTTGCTTTGCGAAGGAAGTCCCAGGGCACCCTACTCTGAGAAGTGCCACCTAGGGAATTGATTTCCTGTGATTGGGTTTAAAATGCTCAGCCATCCAAGCACTCAGAAGCATCTGCAACTTTAATTCAAGGGGGCCTGGCTACTGTTCAACCTGGTGGCAGACCTTGACATCATCCGCATGGTGCTGGATTTACTGGCATGAAGAATGCAAGAGCTGTATGTCAGGGAGTCTTCCACCCAGATTTCCTAAGAAGGCCTGAGAAGTCAGGCAGCATGCTCCTGAGAGGGCAGTGAATGAAGCTATAACAGTGAATCTGAAAGTGCAGTGGAGACTCTAAAAAGTTAGAGAAGCCAGGAATGTGGTATGTCTGAGGAAAGTTACAAGGAGAAGAGAGAAGCCATGAAGGCTACAATCACTGGCAATACTATAGGGGTGGAACTCCAATTCCTTTGGAATTCACATCTTGCTACAGCTTGCCCTGGATGTTGGACATGGAACTAGAAGATTTTACGTTTGCCCTTCTTGGCTTTGGTCTTGTTTCAGTCTGATTTTTTTTCTATCTGGCTATTTCTCCCTTTTGGAATAAGAAAGTTTTTCCAGTACCATTACACATTGGAAGTGTTTAACTTTATTTTTATAGGGGCTCACACCTAAGAGTTTGACTTAAGAGTTAAGACTTAAGAAAAGACTTTGGACTTGGATTTTTCCAGTAGTGCTGGAACTTTTAAGATTTTGGCAACTCTTAGAGAGGGACTAAATGAATTTTTCATAAAGGGATGTACATAAGTTTTCTGGGGGGCCAATGTGCTATGTTATGGTATACTTGGATGTCCTCAAGAACCTCACATGCTCATAGGCCAGGCTTTGGGAAGGTCATTGAATTATGGGGGCTTATAGCTGACTTGCTTTTAGTTAATGGAATATGGTCTGAAGAGGTGAGTCACTGGAATATGTGGCCCAGAAGGGTTTATCTTCCTCCCTGGCTCCTCCCTTCACTCTCTGCTTCCTGTCCACACCATTAGCAACTCTCCTCTACCATGCCCTTCTGCCATGCCTTCCTGCCTTGGAGCCAGACTGAAACATGAGCCAAAATAAACCTCTCTTCCTCTGAAGGGTGGATATCAGGTATTTTTGTCCCACAAACAAGGAAAAATGACACATATCAAAACATACAAAGAAAGGAGATTAGAAATTATAAAGAAATAGAGATCTGTGGGAAACAATAAAAAGATGTTGGAAAAATATATTTGGAGTCCCAGGACCCAGAGGGAGCAAAGGAAGCGGTAAGTTCTATATCTGAGGGGACAACATCTCAGAAATTTCCAAAAATGAAGGAAAACGTCAAGCCCCAGATAAAAAAAAAAAAGTGTCACAAAACTTAAGCACTGTAAATATGAAAACCTAAAAACTACACTTAAGCATATTGGAGTGAAATAAAATTTGAGAGAAAAATCTTTACTCATATTAAGGGTCACTATCTTGAAAGAAAAGGTGCTATGTAATGTATTACTCCCACTCAATTCTGCAGGCTTTTGTTTTGCCTCTCTTCATTTGCAGAAATTCACACACCAAAGAGACACAAGTTTAAGGATAAAATGCTACAGTTCCTTGCTGGATAAAACAAGATTCCCAAAATATTAAGGACTTTTGAGCAACACTTCTCATATTATTTACACAAATTGTAGGTAAGCAATTATTTAGGTAAATAATGTCATTCATTTATAAAATATTGACTGCTCTATAAAAATTTAATATTCTACAAGTCTTTAAGCCTTCTGTTCAATTCTATGAGGTTAGTGGTACCAATATAGACTAGTTTTTCATTGATTACCCTGAGGCATACAACAGAGACAACTGTAGTGTACCCAAATGCCCAAAGTTCTCTCTCTCAACAACATCAATGAAAAAGTATAGAAAAAAATATCCCAAATAGCTTGGTCTAGTTCACACATCCTAAATATAGATGTGTGCTTTAATACAAAGGTAAAATTCAAAATTTTGCAGATTTCTAGCGGGTCACATAGAAGGGGAACAGTAGTTTGACAACATTTTTTCAAGTATATAAAAACAGAATCAAACCATCATATCTAATAACCATTCGACAGTTTTTAAAGTGAAAACAAGCTACTTTGCAATACCAGTGTACTGAATATAGGGCAATCCAATTTAGTGTTAATAGATACTTGATTATTTGGAGATGAGAAACTAATATAAATATACATATACACTGTGAAACAAGTCAGATAGTATAAATTTTGAATGAAAGTCACTCAAAATGCTGATTTTGAGGTTTTGATAACCTTATAAAATTAACAATTCTCTAGTTTAAATGGTTACATTCTCTTTTTAATGCCTGTCTCCACTTACTAATAGATCAGAAACAGCATGGTGGCAAGAATGTCATTGTCATTTGATAGTTGTCAGAAGTAATTTTGAAGACTTTCTTCTGGGCCTGGAAAGCCACCTTGAAATACAGCTAAAGAGAGCACTCAAGACTTAATGGCAAAATTGCTTTGTGCTTTATAAAGAGCATTACAGAAACATGTAAAATTTTTTCTCCTAATGACAAAGCTGTCATCTTAGTCAAAATCAATGTGGCATTGTATTAGACAGGAAGACAGAATGCAGAAAAAGGCAGGATAGAAAAGTTATCCAAAGTCATTTGAGCATCAAGGCTGCAAAGGGAATTGCACAGATCATAGCCAGAGGGACAGTCTGAAATAGGAAATTGTGTTTATGTGGAGATTACGGTCTTAATAAAACAACAAGATGAGTCTCTGGACACTCATACCAAGTCTCAAGTCTCACCTCGGGCTGAAAACTAAATGGAGTGCTTTTAGGACCAGCAGTACAACGGAGGCTTTCCACCCACTCGAGTTGGGGAAACACCACAGGGCCAATCTTAACTTCCATTGCTCTGAGAGGTAAGGGCACACATCTGTAAATGCCGAATAGTTTCTCTGGTGTGAAAAACTAAAAGTATAAATAAGGATCAAGATGTATAATTGATAATGTGATATAGGGCAAAAAGTTCTAAAGGAATAGGAAAAATGGGAGGGGTAAGGGAAAGGACAGAAGGGAAAAGAAAAAAATATGAGAAAAGAAAAAAATGGAAACAAAGTCTTTGTAAATAGGGAAGGGTGGAGGGGGTGAAGGGAGGGCAGAGGAATGGGGAAAAAATAAGAACCAAGGTACATCATGTAAAGGTACAAGATTCCAATGATGAATGTAACTGTATTGTATACTAAAATGTACCAATAAACTTAATGGAAAGAAAATAAAATAAAATAACAAAGAACCAGAAAATCTCTGAAGTTCCAGGCCAGAGCACAAGCAGGTTAGATCTCCTGGCCTGATCTTCAGTAAGCTTTCCCCACTCCGGAACCTTATTAATGGTTCA